GCAGCAGGTACTGTTAAGATAAGAAAATGATGTTCAATATTCTTTGGTAGCTGTATTACAGTTTTAGCCATAGACCAAGGAAATGTACCTGCCCAATGACGTTTTTATTGATGTTCAATTTCATGCTTTTAAGTTTTGTATAGCCTCATAATCTAATCATAAGTGTGTTCTTACTGGCCATGAAACACAAATGTTTTATATACAACACATGTGTATGGTACAATATCGTATATTTCTGTTTTACCAGTTAAATTACTTTAGGGAAGTAATCATTTTGTTGCCTTTTTGTTATATTTAATGTTATTTTTTTATGAATTTTTAAATAACATTTTTGCTTAAATCTTACTCTACAATGATATGAAAGATTACTAACCCTTCATGTATTGTTTTTCACTTTGAGGGAATAATATAGAATGACATTGTTTGGGTGACAGCAGTCTTAATAAGCAAACAGATGTTTGACTCAAACCAAGCAGTCATATATTTTAGAGACAACATAATGTTCATGTTTCTTTTATTCTGTCTCTGGGATAAAATGTATTACAATCTGCCGTTTTATGAAAAATAAATTATCAGGCATATATCAGACCAGGAAGAATTTAATGCAAATTCATGTTCATATCCTCTCCTTTCAGGAAACCACTATAAGGAGACAACACCTCAGTATTATTCACATCCCATAGTGGCACCATACTGATAATGGGTTTAAAACCGACTTGAAATTTTTTGCGGTAGACTAGCAAGAATCAAATTCTGGTCCTATTTAGTTTTATTAAATTGATGAGATCGCTTGAAGAATTAAATGCATTGCAAAGCAAATAGAAGATCCTTACTGTGTGCGTAGAAAAAAATAAGAAACCCATCAAGTTGCAGACACACCAAGACTTCTAAACACAAATACAGAATCAATATGACAACAGAAATATTTTTTTTTTGGGGGGGGGGGGGGGGTCATACAGTGTAATGGATTAAGGGTGATTTCAAATAATACCATGCATAAAGGTATTCATCACACATCACACCTTAGCAGGGCATATCAAAAACCGATAAGTATAAAGAATGACTATGAGATTCATCATTTAGTGTAATGCTTGCTGGTTTGGTTTGGTTTGCTTCACTTTCATTTCAGCACATATAATGTTTTCTTATAAAGATATATTGACTTTCACTGAAAGAACAGAAAACGTTTTAAATCTGTCAGGTATGAACAGCCATGAAATCTTGTCTCTGAATAAAGTGCTTTCTGCTTTCCACTTAGGGTTGATTTACTAAAGGCAAATTGACTTTGGGCTTTTCAAGTGTAGTGGTGCTCATTTTCCCCACAGCTTAGTGAATGAGGTGAAGCTTCACTTTGTAAAAAATACCTAATCAGGTGAAAGGAAAATAAAGAAGCAGTATTTTTTTTGCCTTGCACGTGATTGGATGATGGAAATCAACAGTGCGTCACCATATTTTCCTTTAGTAAATCACCCCCATTGAGTTTCATTCAGCAACATGCTGATGTGTGTTTTTTTTAAACCCAACTGCTGAATATGACTTGCAGGATGCGGAGTATTTCCATCTTTTCAATGAAAGTGGTACATGCCTTTAAGTATGCTGTTTCTGAATAAAAAAAAAAAAACAAATTTTGCATGCATTGCAATACAGTATTTAACATACAGAAATGTCTTAGAGATAACAATTAGGTTGGCGATGAAGATGTTTTGTCTATTTCATGTTATTTGCTTACAAATTCTGACCTTTTCCACTTTTCTTACAAATTACTATAAAGCATTCAAACCCCACAAAATTTTAATTATATAGAATTAGCCAGAGTGAAACATTTCTAAAATATACCAATGAAACATGCTTTCTATCTAGAACTAATATTTCTGGAGTCCAGTGACGTCAATGGTTGTGTTACCACTGGCCATTGTTGATCTTGCGACAGTATCATGGCCCAGTGGCACTGCTGCAAAAAAACATCACTTTTGTTTTCTGTATGAAACCATCCCCTCCCACATTGCCACTTTTCCATCTGTTCTTAAATTGTTCTCTCTCTATCCATATAAAGCCCTAATATAGTATGTGTCTGCCTCTCCTAATGGGTTACTGGGTCTACAAGACAAAGCACCTTGATTGATTTGCTTCCTTTGACAGAAATGACCTACAATAGTCAGCTACATTAGAGAGTATGTGAACCCCAAATTATTTTTTCAGTTGGTGTCATGTCTTACTGTATACAGCATTTTAAACAAAATAATACCTGTGAGTCTGTTTCAAATAGAGATCCTGTTAGTAATAATACTAAGTTGCAGTCTGACTACACTAAGCCACTGCCGTACAGTTAGTAATTCTGCTGTCTGTAATATGTCAGTTGGCTGCTATTAGGTCTGGGGTTATGGGAGACATACAGAAAAAGGGAAAGCTTACCATCTAGTACAGTATAAGGGGGACATACAAAAGCTAGAAGGGCTTACAGTTTGTTACAGTATAAGGAAACATAGAAGGGGGAAGAGCTTACAATGCTCTACAGCAAACGGAAAAGATGCAGAAGGTGAAGAAGTTTACAATCTACTAAAGTATGAGAGGGAGATACAGAAGGTGGTGTAAAGGAAATTTGTAAATTCTGTATAAAATTGTATTGTAGCTGTACTGCTTTACCTATGTATTGTACACTGCGCTCATTGTGAACACGGCACTAATAATGTTTTCATTACGTTTCCATTCCTTCAAGTCCTGATTAGAAATTAGCCTGCCTATGCAACAGCCCTTGTTATCATAAAAGTACACTTATATTATTAATGTAATAACTACATAATTATGTGTATAAAAAACTTCAAAAAAACTGATTTGGAAAGATGCTGAGTGTATCTTTTTGTGTCTGTTCCCTATTGCAGTAGTTATTAATTTGAAACCACTAATCAATATGAGGATAGAAGTTGTCCATCTATAAATTTCAGTATTAATGTCCAGAACAGTGGAAGAGCTTGCAATCTATTAGGTAAAAGGGAGTGATATGGAAGCTGGAAGAGCTTAAAATCTCTTTGGGTATAAGGAAGTGACTCAGAAGATTGATGAATCTATATTTGTATATAAGGGAGCAATTCAGAAGGTGGAAGAGTTTGCAAACTTTTACAGTATAATGGAGGATCAGGGCCGCCCACAGGGGAGTACCTCCGGTATTCCTGTCAGGGGCCCGAGCACACAGGGGGGCCCAGGCACACAGGGGGAACCAGACATGAGCAGGCAGGGAGGATGACTGGTGCAGCAGAGTGGGTAGAATACTGGAATGATGATCTGTGTGTATATCCTTCCAGCAGCTGAAAGCTGGCTCATCTTCCCCTTTACCTCCCACAACTTTCAGCTGCTGGAAGGATAAACACACAGAGCATCATTCCAGTATTCTCCCCACTCTGCTGCACCGATCATCCTCCCTGTCCTGCCCACCTCTGGTTCCCCCTGTGTGCCCGGGCCCCCATAGAGAACAGGACACAAGGAGTGGGGGGTGGCGGGAAGAGACCATGTAAGCCCACAGTACTGTATAAAAAATTTACAAGTTTATTAAAAGATCAATAATTTTGGATTGCTGTCATACATTCAGCTGGGTGGAAAAAGAAACCGCCACCTGGATCTTCTGTTCACAGCTGAAGTAGAGGAAGTCCTATGCTCAGACTCCTGGTCGGAGAAGAGGATACCAGCGGCTGTTTCTTCTTCCATCCAGCTGAGTGTATGACAGCAGTCCAAAGGCTATCCACTGGTCCGTTCCGCCTCCTGGAGTCTTGGTTTGGAGCCCCAGCACAGACATATATGCTGTGCTGCAGTGCTCTGCTTATGCCCTTGATTGTGAGTAGAACTATTGGAGTTTTAAAAAGGCTTTTTGACCTTTTTCATGTCCCTTTCACTGTCTGTCGATCAGACCCTCAATTGTCCTCTATTGGCAGCCGAATGTAAATGACCCCCTGTCCATTTGCACCCACCTGCATCCAATCCAATATGCTAAAAACAGATGGATGGGGGATCCGTTCTCCTTCCGTCTAGCAGATTGGATCAGATAGGATGACAGTCGAGTGTAAACGGACAGGCGGTCTGTTTACATCTGATTGCCCATAGAGGAGAGTGGGCTGTTTTTCAAGCTGACCGGATTGGTCCATCCATAGACTTCTATAGACCGGCACTCACCAGCAACTGATCCTGTAAGCCAAAAACAGACAGAGGATTCATTCCCCATCCGTGCAGTGGATCGAAACAGATGAAAATCGGGTGGAAACGGACAGGCGGTCCGTTTCCATTCGACGTCCTATTGTAATCAGTGGGCAGTGTCTGTGTCCGCTCTGCAGCAGCAGAGTGGACAGAAACCTGTTATCCACCTGCTCAGCGGGTATCAGTGGACAGATACCCCTCTGAGCAGGCGGATCCGCTGGCATAGTCCACCCATGTGAAAGGAGCTTTATACAGCATTGTGGGCTGTACAATGTTAATAAAAATAAAAAAAATATGAACAAGGGCTAGATTTTAGAGGAGAACGCCTTTCCATTGTTAATCACAGCAGTGCTTTCTATGCATGTTTCAAAGCCCTTCATAGCATATAACATAGATAAAGCCATTTATAACTCTCCCCCAAAATTACATCACCAATTCTTTGTCTTCCAAAATATCACCCAAACCGTACTCTCCGCTCCTCGCACCTCCAGCTAGCTAAGAGCAACAGGAGCAAGAGAAGAGGAAGGGGAAGGATACAATGTACCACTAGCCCCTTCCTCTTAGATTGTAAGCTCCAATGAGCAGGGCCCTCCTAACCCTCTTGTATTGAACTGTATTGTTGCTGTATTGACTCCCATTATATTGTAAAGCGCTGGGCAAACTGCCCCAAAATTTGGCGCTATATAAATCCTGTATAATAATAATAATGCAAATACAGAAAAAAGCAATCATACATATTCATCTGTTAACTTATTTGATTGTTTTGCTTTTCTTTTAATGTTTCTAAGACCTGATTTTTGAAATAACCCCATACTTACGTTGCTTTTGACATCTTTCAGTTTTGGCAAAATATCTAGTGCAAATCCATCAGCTTGTCCTCTTGTCCTGTTTCCTCCCATTCATGTAGTTACCAATTGCAAGAATCAATCCTAAAACACACAGAACTGCAGAATCGTCTTTTAAAATCTAAACATGGATAAAAAGAATAAATAAATAACTAAGGATTAATAAGTGGTTAAATATATAATGTTTTTTAAAAACATTTTTACGTGTAAGGTTGCTTTAATTGATATCAAATGACAATCAAAGGGTCAATGCTTTGAATGAATGGTGTAACAATAATATTACCTTGTTACTCATCATGTTTCTGAACAGTGTTAACACACACTGTTCAGATGCTCCATATTTGACAGCAGCCACTGCTGTCTCAACAAGTCCTGACTGTTATTTTGACAGCCGAAAATTGAAGGAAAGAATGATGGGTGAGTGGCAACAACAGGGGGAGGGACAGGTCATGCTACATATGCTCAGTGTACTTTGATTACCGATAAGTAATTTTGGGCATACATAGCATGCCTAAAGACCAAGATTAGTAAATAGCCCAAACAGTGTGTGGCAGCAGTGTTGCTCATAAAATTAAAAGTTACATCAGCTTTACAGATAATGTTCTAATTAGTAACTAACCTTACAAACTTTCTGTAACAATTCAAGTTTTCGATGAATGACACTAATGTTTTCTGATATTGTTGACTGCAACAAAATGCAAAAAACCCGTTCTGAAAAATTTGGTATAGTTGTCAGTTCATAGAGGAACCTGCAGGAAGTAAAAGCAACAATGTTAAATATGGTGAAATACATCAGCAATACTTTGAAAGACCAACATCATTTGCATACATCATAGAAGCATATTATGATAGTAAAGAATTAGACAGGAAAAAAAATAATGTCCCTTTCTTTCTGACTCACTGATGTTAAATAAGTGTCTTTAATTCATAACTAGGCAATCTTTAAAGTAGTTGTAAAAGGCTAAAGGTTTTTCACCTTAATACATTTTCTGCATTAAGGTGAAAAAACTTTTCAGGTGCAGCTCCCCCCTAAATATTTTCTCAAGCCCCATCTCAATCTAGCGCCTGAAAGCAGCAGTGCTTCTCACTCTCTCCCTCCTCACTGGAGTCAGTGAGAGCAGTAGGAACCATTGGCTCCTGCTGCTGTCAATCAAATCCAGTGATAAAGGAGGGGGAAGAAAGGGGCTGATCCACACTGTATGTGTCAATAGCCACACACAGTGAGACTCAGGATCAAGCCCTCATGACAACCCCCCTCGCAAGCAGCTTGCTTAGGGGGGAGGGGGGTACCTGGAAGGCAGTAGGAGCCGGGAGCACTGGTGGGGGACCCCAGAAGAGGAGAATCAGGGCTATTTTGTGTAAAACCATTGCACAGAGCAGGTAAGCATAACATGATTGTTCCAAAAAAAAAAAATCCTTTAAAATCACTTCCATTTCCAATTTGCTAAATTGTTAACCACTGTGCCTCTGTAAATATATCTATATGCTGTGAATTATTGGGGTTTATTAACAAGTGGTACTAAGAGTATAACAGTAATTGTAGCCAATATCTGATGCATAAAACAGAAATCCAGCCAAAGAAAACAAATAAATGAATAACCCATTACAAGATAAAGTAAGAAAGCCATATTTTGTTGCAATATTCATCTTCAACCCAGATATGCCCTGCTTTTCTGCCACTATGTGTCTCTAATCTGATGACCAGCTGTCAGATGTCTGTGAACCCGTGTAGGTCACAAACTCAGAGGTCCCCAGGGTGCGGAGTCTAAGCCCCAGCCTGCTTCTTCACCATTGCCCCTGATGGTGGGGATGGACTTGCAGCAAAGATGGAACTAAGTCATGGCCCCCAGGTATGCCCAACTGAGGAGATCACTCATGTGTGCAGAGTACAAACGGTAGGAGACAACAGGAAATCCAGGAAACAAGCTGAGGTCAGGGCGAGCAGCAGGCAAGCACAGAAAGTAGACAAAGCCAAGCTCGGTACATGGGAAGTCAGACACTGAATACACAAATAGCTGGGAGCTCAGAGAACAGGGAAATTGCTCAGGCAATGTGGGGTACACTGAGCATGTTTTTATATAGGCAAGCCAACTGGGAGGCAGGCCAGGAAGTGATGAAAGGGAAATTAAATGTAAACACATAAAATAGCAGGTGACGCCCATAGTTGAGCATAGACGCCAAACAACACATGTGAAAGGAATATGGGTCTCGGAGAAGCAATGTAGAAAGGAGGTAAGAATACAAATACACAGGCAGGAAAACTGCAGGCTAAATTATGATACCAGTATCATTCAACCATTTTCCTCGTAGCTCAGGTCATGCTAGACCTTCCTTAGCCTGTGTGTCAGGGACCCCGGGCTTCGCCGTGGCACGCGAATCTGCGCATGCGCGGATCGCCCAGGCACATCAATATGTGGGCATTAGAACCTGGGCGTCCTGCGGCGGCAATTGCGGCCACGCATGCGCACTCACACACAAGGGCGCGCGCCTGGCACCAATGACGGTGCAGGGCACGCTATTTAAACTGGCCAGGCAATGTCCTCATTGCCGCAAGGTCTAGTTCCTGTTCCTGCAGTGCTTTTCTTGTTGCCGACCATGCCTGTTCTGATCCATGCTGACCTTCTCCTGCTCTGATCTCCGGCTTGTCCCTGACCATTCCTCTGCCTGTCGTTACTGTTATTTGGACCCTCTGTTACTGAACCCGGTGTTTGACCTGACTACTCTTTGTCTGCTGCTTGGTACCGCACCTGTCCCCACTGTTACCGACCCGGCTAGTCTGACCACGCTCACTCTGGCGGTCATCCATCCTGCTCGGACCTGGACCTGTCAACCCCTTCACAGCACGCTCATCCCTAGCAGATACCCTCAGCGGGACCCCTCTACCATAGTTGGGTGCACCCAGGGGTCGCGACCTGGTTTCAGTCTTGCACCAAGTCCATCCCCACCATCAGGGGCCCTGGTGAAAAGGCAGACTGAGACTCCGCGTCCTGGGGAATCCCGTTCTGTGGACCACTAGAGATCCCGTTGGGCGGAGCCTGACACTGTGACTGGATAGTGAAAGGAGAAGCAGCACAGTGATGAACTAATCTATCTGGCACTCTGCTTTCCCTTCTTCTCAGCATACTTTTGGTCAGCATATAAACTAATTGGCTCATTGTACTGCGCCTTTTTTTCACATTCCTCCCCGCTATACAAGGACTGCACAACACTGATACCATGTCAATCATGTATTATATCTACCTATAATTCAGCTTTCAAATCTAGGCAAATCTTAACAATGTACGTCTATGTACTATGTAATCACTAAGGGGTTCTTAGATCACTAGATTTCTGGCAAAAGAAATTGGGATGGACTTAAACATTACAGCAAGGTCTAGATGGAAACAAGTACTGAATACAGTGCATCCAGAAAGTTTTCACAGTGCTTAACTTTTGCCACATTTTGTTATGTTACAGCCTTATTCCAAAATGGATTAAATTCATTTTTTTCCTCAACATTCTACAAACAATACCCCATATTGACAATGTGGAAGAAGTTTGTTTTGAAATCTTTGCAATTGATTAAAAATAAAAAACGAAAAACAAAACACATGTACATAAGTATTCACAGCCTTTGCTCAATACTTTGTTGAAGCACCTTTAGCACCAATTACAGCCTCAAGTCATTTTGAGTATGATGCTACAAGCTTGGCACACCTATTTTTGGGCAATTTCTCCCATTTTTCTTTGCAGTAACTCTCAAGCTCTATCAGGTTGGATGGGGAGCATCGGTGCACAGCCATTTTCAGATCTCTCCAGAGATGTTCAATCGGGTTCAAGTCTGGGCTCTAGCTGGGCCACTCCAGGACATTCACAGAGTTGGCCTGTAGTCACTCCTTTGTTATGTGGGCTGTGTGCTTAGGGTCGTTGTCCTGCTGAAAGATGAACCATTGCCCAGTCTAGGGTCCAGAGCGCTCTGGAACAGGTTTTCATCAAGGATGTCTCATTACATTGCTCCATTCATCTTTCCTTTGTCCTCCTCTCCCAGTTCCTGCCGCTTAAATACATCCCCACAGCATGATGCTGCCACCACCATGCTTTACTGTAGGGATGGCATTGGCTAGGTGGTGAGCGGTACCTGGTTTCCTCCAGACATGACGCTTGGCATTCAGGCCAAAGAGTTCAATCTTTGTTTCATCAGACCAGAGAGTTTTGTTTCTCATGGTCTGAGAGTCCCTCAGGTACCTTTTGGCAAATTCCAGGCAGGCTGCCATTTGCCTTTTACTGAGAAGTGGCTTCCGTCTGGCCACTCTACCATACAGGCCTGATTGGTGGACTGCTGCAGAGATGGTTGTTCTTCTGGAGGGTTCTCCTTTCTCCACAGAGAAATGCTGGAGCTCTTTCAGAGTGACTAACGTCCTTCTCACTCGATCGCTCATTTTGGCCAGGTGGCCCGCTCTAGGAAGATTCCTTGTGGTTCCAAACTTCTTCCATTTATAGATGATGGAGGACACTGTGCTCATTGGGACCTTTAGTGCTGCAGAACTTTTTCTGTACCCTTCCCCAGATCTGTGCCTCGATACAATCCTGTCTCAGAGGTCTACGGACAATTCCTTGGACGTCATGGTTTGGTTTGTGCTCTGACATGCACTATTAACTGTGGGACCATATATAGACAGGTTGCCTTTTCTAGTCATGTCCAATCAACTGAATTTCCCTGCAATCAAGTTGTGGAAACATCTCAAGGATGATTAGTGGGAACAGGATGCACCAGAGCTCAATTCTGAGTGTCATGGCAAAGGCTGTAAATACTTATGTACATGTGGTTTATTTCATTTTTTATTTTTAATAAATTGCAAAGATTTCAAAACAAACTTCTTTCATGTTGTCATTGTGGGATATTGTTTGTAGAATGTTGATGAAAAAAATTAATTTTATCCATTCTGGAATAATTTTGTAACATAACAAAATGAGGCAAAAGTTAAGCGCTGTGAATGCTTTCTGAATGCACTGTAGGTAGCTAAGCTCCCTGTGTGCATTCCATGGCTGAATTTCCAGTTCTGAAGTGTACATTTACAAACAATGCACTTAGGAAGATTTAAATGATTTTTCAAATATATTTCATATGCAGTGCACAGTACAAATACATATGTGATGAAGTGCTTAGGATTTCAGCCATTATTTTCACTTTTCCTTTGAATGACAGCTTTATTTTTCAAACAGAGAACAGACCCACACAGGCCAAATTTGATCTATTGCTTCTGGAGAGAAACAAAGATGCCATTCTTCACTGAGTCCTACTGTCTTCTTCACCCACAGTGCTACATACACATTGCCAAGTTATTCTCTGTGTAATATTATGTCAGAATAAATTAATATTTTTATCTACTTTGTAATGTTCTGTTTACTACCACATAGCAAAAAGAACTTAAACTGCTTCTTACTGCTCAGGTTTGTCCAGGGGTTTTGAATGTTCCTTATGTTTTGAAGATTTGATATGTTTTTCAATCTTCTCCTGTTCTTCTGATACAGCTCTCTGTTAATGCAAAAACAGTACATGACTGGAAAATAAGCTAAATCGAATTTATCTTGCTCATTTTTTATAAATCTTACATTCAGTACTTCATATGTAACTTGTTTTCAACAAAGAATTTCAATTCCTATGATTGTTATGGTACTAGTTCAGTAGCAACAACACATTGGAGTACTGTCCCAAATACCTTGTTCTTCGCACCAGCAGTTAAAGGCATGACAAATCTTCCTACTTGCACATTATGTTTTTGACCTGCATAAGACGTGCATTGATCATATAGTTTCATGTGGTCATTAGTTGCTCTGTGTGCACAGCCTATAGTATTGTAAATTTTCACATTCCAGTGTCAGAAGCTTTTGCTTGTGTTCAAATGTGAAGCAGGCGCATGACACTAATGAACATGAACATCTCCTACGCTCAAAAGTGGTAAGATGATGGAAATATTTCCGGTCCTTAAAAATATCCAGCATCAGCACAGGTCTTGTTGCCATCTAAAGGTTGGGGAAATCCAAAGGACTTACTGAGAGTCTCTGGCTCTGATGAAGAGGGGATCACCCCTTGAAACATGTCAACCATTTGAGGGTCTTCTTGTGCTTTGAGAACTGACCTGGTGATGTGATTGCTTTAGATAATGATATGCCTTTATCACTACAGTCGTTTGTGAGTATATACCTCCTTTGAACTTAATAAAGTTACCTCTCAGGTAATGCACTAGACTGGTGCACCCTGTCTTTCCTTGTTTTACAGGTGCAGGACACTGCACAAGTTAATGTATGACTTGTCTGTAGTCTGAGAATTGACACTTCCTGTGAAGAAACTACACATTCCACAATCCCTGGGTCTCTCATTTCAAACTAGTGCTTTGCAGTTGAAAGCTAAAACATAAGTAGATCTTACACAGGCAGAGCAATTAACAAAGATCTTTCCATGCTGGAAGATATGTGTTTTTATCACATTAACAGTTACACATTTGTGATGCAAACAGAGAAAATGAAGAGGCATGCATTGAACACTGTGACACAGTATAAAATGTTGTCTGTCCCTATTCACCAGAGGTACAGGCAACTTCTTGTTCTGGCCACAGTGTCCAATGCATGCCTCACCATTTCCTCTGTGTTGCAGCAATACATGGGCATAGGGAAATTGATCAGGTACAACACTACAAACTGCCCTGCCATAACACTTGAACCCATCATTACAAAGTAAGGCAAACAAATACCATAGGGAGTAGAAATACCTAGCTAAAACAACTAAAAACAGGCCTTTGGAAGTCTACCCCCTTCTCAGTCCAAGCAATATTGCTAAGTCTGAGAAGAAGGGACTAGACACTTGGAAGTGTGACCTGAAATATTAAATGTTAGTGCAAATAAAAAAGGTACTCTTAGGTTCCAATTCTTAAGTGAAGTCTGACTGGGTGCCATCTGACATAATCATCCACACATTATGTTGATAACTATCAGTTAACTATTGCTGTGTATAAAAAAAACCTTCAGACTGATGCCCTTCCTCTGCCGAGGCAGTCCACATTGTTGCTGTCCATACACTGTTGTAGTATTTCCATTGGTGGTATAGTGGGTAGTTGATTCACTCCAGGTTGCACATCTAAAACCTAACTGCTAGCAGAGATGGGCAACATTTTGTAGCACTCTTCTAGCTGTTGGTTCTAGGTATACTGCTGCATAGTGAACAAACTCTGATCTTTTTAAGGTGGTACTAAGGACAGCAAGTCAACAGAGATAGGAGGGAGTGACAAAGACAGTTAGCCTAGGGGGAACGTAACTAAAGCCAGTAGTGACATGTCATAATGTGCCTGATTTTGTCATGTGCTTCGTGCCTCACTGGGGTTGATTTACTAAAACCTATTTAAAAATCTGGTGCAGCTGAGCATGGTAGCCAATCAGCTTCTAATTTCAGCTTGTTCAATTAAGCTTTACCAGAAACACTTGGAAACTGATTGGTTTCTATGTAGAGCTGCACCAAATTTTGCACTCTTCAGTTTTAGTAAGTCAACCCCACTGTGTCCTGTACTGATTTCAGCCTAACCTTTTGTTGTGTTCTGATTGCCTCATTTTATTGAGTGCATCATGTTTCACTCTGCTGTTTGCTTGCACTGAACCTATTTAGTTCCTGACCTTGACATTGCAAACCTTATCTGGTCAATTCACTAAGCATAATGCATGCAGTATTTTCATTACTGTTGGTTATTCAGTCATTTTTGCATTTAAAAATCATGTTTTGAAATGATTACATGTTTTATCACACAGACCGGCAAATTTTACTACATGAATATAATATTATGGATTTTTGTAGTATTTTACATACAAACTACAAATCACAAGGATTATTGCACAGGGTTGTTACACCTTAAAATATTGATAGACTAATGGCTAGCGTTAACTATGTGGTCCATTCCAGGTGAAGAAAATATTCTAATTCATGAAAATAAAGGTTTTCAATAGTTATAGCCTATCTCCAGCTAAATTGTTTTGTTTAGCTTTGGACAGAATGGAGAACATTTAATTTTTTTATTAGGATTTAGTCTTTTCTGTGACCCTGCTGAGGAAATTTTCCTTTACTTCCTGTTCTGAAAATTTCTATCTGGAATTTAGGGAAAAGCTCCTCGCTAGAGATGCAGAACAGCAATATTAAACTTAATAAAGTTTGTATGTGATCTACACTCCATAAGGCACTCAACAAATAAAAATGGCGAGTGTTTAAAATGACTAAAATGTATTGTTACTGTATGTACTGACTCCAAGTAGAAATGGAAAAATCACCAACATTTCAGTAGTGTTTTTGGGGCCCCACTGAGTACATTCTATTTTGCCTTGAAGAAGGGACCTTGCCAGGTACCAAAATATCAGCTATGTTACCATTTGTAACATTTTTTTTACAATAAAAAGATGAAAAAAAATACTGTGTGAACCCTGGTAACTTTTTTTTCATCTAGCAATAAAAACCTGAAGGAAACCTTTCTCTTCTTTATTTAAAACAAAATAAACATTTTTGGCTGGTACTTTATCCACTTCCGAACTGCCCTCCCTAAATCTACCGTGAATGTGTGGCCCATGCAGGCAAAGTGATATACTGTTATGTCACTGCCTGCTTCCTTGTGCTGGGCACATGCATGCAAAGCAGGGATGAGAAACAAAGATATGGCTTCAAAAAAATTGCACACATTACACATATTTAATCCCTTGATCACCCTAGATGTTAACCCCTTCCTAGCCAGTGTCATTAGTACAGTGACGGTGTATAGAATGATCACTATTTACTATATTAATTGATGATATCAATGGCAGTTAGTCATTTCCCCCCCAGAATCAGTTAGTTTCAGATTGCCTGCCGCACTATTGCAGTCCTATTATAAGTTGCTCATCACCGCCATTAATATAAAAAAAAAAAAATTCCAATATATATACCATAGTTTGTAGATGCTATAACTTTCATGCAAACCAATCAATATACACTTATTGGGATTTTAGTTTACTAAGGACATGTAGCTGAATACATTTTGGCCATAATTATGAAGAAATGTTTGTATTGCCTATGTGTTATAGCAGAAAGTAAAAAATATTTTGTTTTCAAAATTTTTTTTTTTTTTTGTTTATATAACACAAAACATAAGGAAACCCAGTGGTGATCAAATACCACCAAAAGAAAGCTCTATCTGTGTGAAAAAAATATATAAATTTCATTAGGGAAACACATTACATGACTGCGCAAATAGCAATTAAAGTAGCACAGTGCTAAATAGGAAAAAATGGCCTGGTCATGTAGAGAGTAAAACCTTCCAGAGCTGAAGTGGTTAAATAACTTCATGCAAAGAAAAAAAGATCCACATTGAGGCAGCTTAGTGAATCCTACGTATTTGCAATGTCTCCAGTCTAAATCTAAATTCTATCTTTCTGTTAGTAGGAAATGTTGTTGTTGTAGGAATGAAACAAAAAAATCTCCACAGCTGTGTAGCTTTGAATGTTGTGTGCAGGAGCATTTCAGTATGTTCTCCACCAAGCAGACATTCTTAGACAATACATTTGCATCGATATGGAAAGCATTTAACAAAAAAAACAAGGATGGATGGATTGGTGATCATAAAAACCTAAATTTCCTTTCATTATTTTACAATCACAGACATTTTAATTTTAAAAAGATAAAGGAAAAAACATATCAACCAATATCAATGTAATTTAATTTAGATTTTCACTGCATGTACAGCTATGTTTCTTGTTCAAATAATACTTACATTTTCATACAAAGCTTGAAGAGTTTCTAAATCAACAACTGAATAGTCCATTTTTAAAATGGCTAAAATAAGAAAAATTAAAAGAATGTTATAGAGAATGCATATATATAGAACTGTAATCAAGATTTATGTTAGTGTTGACAATTTGTTTGTTTTAGAAAAGCCAGGGTTTTTCCTAATTTGATAAATATATTATTTGGTGCATTATCTGGCATTTAGATCTCTCCTTTGATATATAACATACCTGACAAGGTCAGTATGATAGAACAGCAAGAAGCATTTTTATAATAAAATCAACAATGGCATCCTCTGTAGTTCACTCTATATTTAGCTTGATGCCTATGGCGTTTTTAAAGGAGAATTTCCACATGCTCTTACCTTGCTAGTGTTGGTTCACACTCCTCACCTCCCCTAAACATCATCATACTACATCTATTCACTGTGGTATGTTTATGCAACCCAGAAGGCCCACATAATAGCTCTTGGTGGTGAGCTTTCCGTGTCAAAACAATGACCAAATACAGTAAGTCCCTGTCCTCTAAAGAACCTGTTAACTTGACTCTAACTCTTAGTCCTTCACCAACCAAAGCTTAACACCAAAACTAACCCCTTAAATGAACCAACAACTCTTAACCTGCACCCTAATACTTAAAGTGGAGTTTTAGAAATTTAGAAAATGTAGTTCTGCTAGATCACCTCAGGTTGGATTCTTTTGCAGGTATAGCTATGTAACACATTAAAAATTAGTGCCTATACTTTATATAATCCAGTAATACATTGTCTCAGCCTGCTCTGCACATGCTCAGTTGCCATATATATATATATATATATATATTTTTTTTTTTTTTTTTAATCAAAAGAGCTCTTTATTAAAAAGAGATAAACATATATAGAATACAAGGAGCAATACCAATAACTTCATACCATAATGCATTTTCAATAAAAGGAATGTTTGTTTACATAAGTAACATAGTTATGAAGCAATGCTGTACAAATTGTGAACCCATTGTGAGTCTACACATTCATCTATTTTTCATGTGGAGGGTTGTTCTGGCCATCTGTCCCATATCTTATTGTATTTGGCACATCTTTTGTCTATGTATATAGAATACGGCTGCCAGACTCATTCACCTTTCCAACCGCTCCATTTCTGCCACCCCCCTCTGCCAATCCCTCCACTGGCTTCCGGTTGCGCAACGGATCAAATTCAAAATCCTAACACTGACGTACAAACCTGTCCACCATACTGCCCCGAACTACATCACTGACCTAATATCCAAGTACCGCCCAGCACGCACACTCCACTCCTCACAAGACCTCCTTCTCTCTAGTTCCCTGGTCTCCTCCTCCCACGCCTCCAGGATTTCTCCAGGGTGTCACCCATCCTCTGGAACTCCCTGCCCCAACCCATCAGATTATCACCTACTCTCCTCTCCTTTAGGTGCACCCTGCAAACCCATCTCTTCAGGGAAGCCTACCCCACCCCCTGCTAACTTGCCGACCTTCTCTACTCTTCCTTCCACTCCATCCCCCTCAGCTATCTCCTCCTGTGCCACCATCCCCTCCCTCCTAGATTGTAAGCTCCAAGGAGCAGGGCCCTCGATCCCCCCATGTTTTGCATTGTATTGGTATTGTTCTGTCACATGTTCTGTCCCCCTTTGTAATGTACAGCGCTGAGCGAACCATTGGCGCTTTATAAATACTGTATAATAATAATAATGTATATGACATTTTTGTATGGTAAGGTGAGATTAATAGCAGCATCCCATTCAGGACTGCTATCAGCAGTCTGGCAAAAAAAGTGTTTCTTGCAGAAAAACATACAAATGTATGTCGCTCTCTTGATTGTAAAGAAATCCCAGGAGACATTGTTTTGGGCATAGGGTTAATGGTGAGCCCATTTGATCATGTAGAAACTGGACCACCTGAGGTCAATGACCTTGAATAACCGGGCAGGACCATATTAAATGAAAGAAATATCCACTGGGATCCCCATATATGGGGCTTGACGGGTTGTATTGGGGCCTGTACTTGACTAGTTGAACAGGGGTTAGGTAGGCTCGATGTAGAATATATAGATGGGAGAGGTGGTCAGAAAGTTTTGGGGAAACCAGTTTACTAGTTGCTCTCTATTTTTAGGCACTGTGGCAAAAATGTAGAGGTGGATCTGCAGACAGTCTAAAGAGGCTCTGGGCCTCAGCAAAATGGCAGACTCCAGCAAGAAGAAACAGGAGCAATGCTGGAGGCAATTTACAGCACACACTAATTTTTGTAGCATAATTATTAATGTGGAAAGTATATTCCTTGCTAAGAACATTATTTTTGATCAAGTTGTTATAGGTAAACTGCTTTAAAGCAGACAGATATACAGATGAAATGCATATGAAAGATCTGTTTAATCTGTCACAGTATTTTTGTTTATCCAGCCCAGACAGCCTGATGACCTGAATTTTCTTGGTTGCAGTAAAACCTCACAAACAATTTAACATGTTAATGTAATTTTAAAATAGGTTTCAATATTCTGAAATCTCCAGCCTTCATTCCATTATTACATGGTGTACCACCATCCTAGATAGATGCTAGGTTTAGTATATATTTTGATAGGTAAATGTTGTTGTCACACTGCAGTCAGTGTGGTTGTGATTGTTGTTAGGTAAAAGCATAGTCTGCACACTGTAATCGGTGTTGCTGTGTTCTGATGTTAGGTCTACTCAGTGTGTTCAAAAGCTACCAACCTGATAGCTCCCTCTGCATCCAGAAAGCTTGAGAAGTTTCTGGATGATAGATGTGGAGCTATGCAGATGGTAGCATGAATTTTATGAATATTATGAATGAATAGCCCTGGCCTATCCGAGAGAGTGAGGCTCTGATGGCATGCTCAGTAACTGTATATATTTAGTGAGCAGACTGAGCACTGGGTCTTTTCCTGTATCTATTTATTTATGTATTTATTTCAGAGCACATATTGAAATGATATGCTTACAATTTACCTTACAGCTTATTTTTACTGTGGATTTACGCACAAAGATTTATTAATTTATAACGCACTTAATTTGATTTAAAAAATATTTATATGATTACCATCTTATGAGCGCTGCGCTCTCTGATTTTACATGCTATTGAAGGTTTTTTGGTTGCCTTTTTAGTATTAACAGCTGGTTTTAAGCGCTCTCTGATTTCTTTTATTTCATAATCATTATAGGCATCATGGATATTGGTTGCTTTTTGTGTTTCACCATTTTCTGTGCTCATTATTGTCTGCTGTTAATTTATTTTCACTACTTCTCAGTAAACGGCCTTTACACTTCATTTTGTGCATATACTCCCTGGTGTAGTTACAACCCTGGTTACTTGCTGGCTCACATAGGATTTTTACAGAGGAATGCTTAACATAAGCTCTGCGATGGTGGGTGAATGAGTAGTTAAAGAGAATTACAATATTTTTTTTAACAATAGTGAAACAGTTCATAAATATTGAATTGTATACATTACTCTATGTGCCTGGTGTGCCACTTTAAGGGTAATATCTGTTTTGAGAGAGGCATGCCTGCCTTCATGGGGCTCAACCAATGCTGAAATTTCTGCTTCTGTAACCAAACTTATGTTACCATCACAGCTTTTTCTGACTACCCTCATTGTTTTAAGCAAACATTATGCATTATTTTCAATTGTGTTTGTATGTTTTTAATTGCAGAGAGTTTAACCAAAGTGATATCTGCTATTGGCTAAATAAAAAAATACAAGCTTTTGGAACCCCTTATATTACTTCCTTCCCTTTTCTTAAAGAATTATACAAACCCTAAAGAAAGCAGTTAAAATGTCATGAAAGTATGCATCTTTAATAACTTGGTAATTGAGGTTATCACCTAAATGACAAACTTTCAGTATTGATCAATGGCTAAATCTGTACAAGACAAGTACAAGTGTTATATTTAAGAGGAGAAGCAACTCTGTAGACTTTATTCTGTAGACATTGCTTGTTGGAAGTGCAGCAGGACAAAAGTGCATAGTTTGAACAGCAGTAGTTTGAAAACAGCAGGAGTTTGGAAACAGCCAAATATCTTTGGTTACTACTTGTGTTTGAGTTTAAGTACATTTTTTTAAATGTCTGGTTTATTTCAGTGCAGTACTTGTTTGGCATTTGTTTTTTGTGGTGCTTTTTGGAAGCTGGGATGCTGTCTCATTTGTATGCAGATTTCAAGTCTACGTGATGGCATTGCTTGTTCTTAATTCAGAATAGTGCCCTGCAGTCTGAGATCAGGAGGCTGTCTAGACCAATTTGTTCTGTTGAGTTGCCTTGCAAAAAGCCACCTCTTCTTCAAAGACTGCACAGGAAAAGAGCAATGTGGACAACTGTTGGGTCAGGAAGAGTGAGGCTTTTGGACCATAAACATGTAGCTTTTGGTGTGACACTGCATAACTCCTATAGTGTTGTTTCTGAGCTAGAAGCAGATATAAAGGTTGCAAATTTAGCTGATTGTGCGCATAGGAAGGAGGACCCTGAGGAAAAAATTGCTTTGCCAAAAGTAACAATTTTATCTGAGGTTCCATTCCAGGCAAGTGTTGTGGATAAAGCTCCTGAAAGGAAAAATTATCTTATTGTTGGTGATTCAGTTGTAGGAGGGATTTCTTTAGGAAATCATGTGGAAGTGTCAAAGGAAGTTAGATGTTTACCTAGTGCTACTGTTAGGAGAGATAAAAGGCCTGTGTCAAAAAAGCTAGTGAAGAGCGCAATGTTGATGTTATTGTGCACAAATAATTGCCCCAGAATGATGTGTGTTCTGTACAGAAGGATTTTCAGTATTCGGGACAGGACTTTCAACAATTAGGGTGTACTGTTACATTTTTGGAGGTCTTACCTTTGCATAATGGACAACAAGAGAAAGTACTTTGTACAGCAGAGTTAAAGGATTGGTGCAAAACTGAAGGTTTTGGTTATGTTAGTCATAATGCTATCAGGTGGTCTGACATTGAGCTGTACAAAAGAGAGGGTCTGCATCCTTCACACAAGGGCGCTGAGCTTCTTAGTATGGAATTTAGGAGTATTGTGGACATGCATTTAAAATGAGAAATGGGGGCAGAGATGTAATTGTTGAGAAGCATTTCTGCCCCCAGCAGGTTGAAACAAATGTGAGGGTTTGTGTTGCTAAGGACTGGGCTGATGAGGTGGTCACTTCAGTTAAAGTTTCTGGTGGTAAAAATAAAGCAGTAGATAGCAGCGTTTGTCATGTCATGTGCACTAATGCTAGTAGGTTAGGCAACAAGCTTTCTGAGCTGACAGTTCCAATGTCTAGGGACAACTTGGACCTTGTTGCAATTACAGAGACGTGTTTCAAGGATTTAAATGACTGGGAAATAACTATACAAGGGTATACACTATACAAGAAAGACAGAGTAGGGATGAGGGGAGTTGGAGTTGCTATATAAGTCAAAATTAGCATAAGGCTAACGTTAATTAAAAAAACAAATGAGAAATACTTGAAACCCTCTGGGACCGCCTTCAACCAGGGAGGGATCTTCAATTAGAATTGGAGTAATGGACAGACTGAAGATTATGATAACTTGTTGACTGATGAGATAACTCAAATGGCAATGAAGGGGGAGGTTTTGATTATGGGTGACTTCAACATGCCTGACATTAACTGAAATTCTCAAACTGCTATTACAAGCAGGAGCAGGGATGTAATAGAAGCACTGAATGGACTTTCTGTAAAAAAGTTACCAAAAAGTCCAACCCGAGGTGATCATATTCTAGACCTAGTACTGACAAATGGTGATCGACTGTCTAATGTTGAGGTGGGAGAAAATTTGGGCTCTAGTGATCACCAATGTCTTTGGTTGGATATTAAAATAGGAAACTGAAAATCATATACAAAAACACAAGTTTTAGATTTCAAAAAGACGAATTTTGCTGAAATGGGTGAATTTCTAAAAAAATCAGGTTGGCGTAAAATGACAGAAGTAAACAGTGGGCACTGTTAAAGTCTACCATCCTGGAGGCAACTAGATTATATGTCAGGCAAGTTAGTAAGAATAAATGGAAGAAAAAAACAATATGGTTCACTAAAGAGACAAGTAGGATAGTAAAGGGAAAAAAATCAGCATATAGGAGATTCAAGGAAACAGGAGGTGTAGTTGACAGAGAAAGGGTATAGGAATAGACAAAAGAAGGCCAAACACATTATCAGTGCTGCCAAAGCACAAAAAAGAGGACATTGCTAAATCTATTAAGAAAGGAGATAAAACCTTTTTTAGATACATTAGTGGTAGAAAAAAAATTAGGGGGTCAATAAAATGAGAACTGGACACAACACTTATGTTAAGGGAGACCTGGATGTAGCAAACCACTTGAACAATTACTTTTGTTCAGCCTTCTTAGAAATAAATTATACTAATAATAATAAGTTGGAAAATCATATTGCTTCTAGTAATGATAGTTCATTTTTTGGATTTCCGGAAACAGAAGTAGCAGAGGAACTGGCTTGGTTAAAGATTAATAAAGCAATGGGCCCTGACGGTATTCATCCCAGAGTTCTAAGAGAAGTTCGAAGTATAGTTGTTGGATCATTAACTGACCTTTATAATCAATCTCTTCTAACAGGAGACTTTCCCCATGACTGGTGGACAGCTAATATTGTAACTATCCACAAGAAGGGCAGCAAGGTAGAAGCTGGCAATTACAGGCCAGTGATTTTAACATTGGTTATAGTCAAGTTAATGGAATCACTCCTGAAAATAAGGATCATTGACCACTTAAAAACACACAACTTGCTGAATCCAAAGCAGCATGGCTTTACTGAGGGCAGATCATATCAGACTAATTTGATTGGATTTTTTTTACTATATTACCAATGTTTTGGACCAGGGTGGCGCTCTGGACATAGCATATTTTGATTTCAGCAAGGCATTTGGTACACTTCCACATAATGATCTAATACAAAAGTTGTACAAGCTAGGAGTTAGCCCTTGATTGGTTCAGTGGATGTGCAGCTGGCTAAAGGATAGGGTTCACTCAGAAAAGAGACCAGTCACTAGTGGTGTACCATAAGGCTCTGTACTAAGTCCTGTTCTATTTAAACTATATGTATGTGATATAACTAACTTTTTTTGGGTAACGTTGCTGATGACACAAAGGTGTGTAATAGTGTTGATACCCCTGGAGGTATTTGTAGCATGGAACATTATTTGGCATTGCTGGAAGATTGATGGACCACTTGGTCTTTTTCTGCCGTCATTTTTCTATGTTTCTAAGACACTGGGGTTGAACTGCTAAAACTGGAGAGTGCAAAATCGGGTGCAGCTCTGCATAGAAACCAATCAGCTTTCAGAATAAGGTCTGGGGTGTAATAGTAGATGGGGGACCTAAGGATTCTAAGGAGCTGGCCAGGGGTTTCTGGTAAAGCTCACAATTTCCACAGAAAAACAGGAGGTGGGACAGCCCTTATAATGTAGTAGATTCATTCAGAAACAAGGATACAGTGCTTCCACAATAAAAGGAAAAAAGGTAAAAATGGACTGGCAACTGTTGAGGCTGTGATCACCCAGCTAGGGCAGAACATGCGGCTAGACATGTATGGTTTGTTTCGCTCTTAATTTATGAATTACAATACTAATGAATTTAAACGAATCCGAACTAACAAAATAGAAATTCAACCGAAATTCGATCAAATTTTAAAACGATATGGAAATCAAATTTGAAATATAAACATATTGCTGACTATTCATAATTTCCTTCAAAGACTATTTGTATTAGTGTTCTAATATAGCCATCTTTTGAAATTTGAATTTTGAAAAGAATAGAATAGAAAGGATTAAAATAGAATAGAATAAAAGAGAATAGAAAGAATATAGCTGTCTTCCGAAATTCGAATTTTGTAAAGAAAAGAATAGAGTAAAACAGACCAGAATAGAAAAGAAAAGAGAGAAAAAATAGAACAGAAAATAAAGGAAGAGAATAGAAAATAAAACAATAGAATAAAACAGAATAGAGTAAAACAGAATAGAACAGAAAATAAAAGAATAGAATAAAATAGAATAGCAAAAAAAAGGAATATAATAGAATAAAATAGAAAATAATAGAATAGAAAATAACATAATAGATTAAAAACAATAGAAAACAAATGAATAGAATAGAAAAGAATAGACTAGAATTATCATCAATCATAGATCATACTTTACATAAACCCTAAAATACACATGTAAATACAATGTTTAATTTATTAAAATATTGTAGTTTTAAAAAATGATCATGCTTACCATTCTGAATATCTTTCATGTCTAAATGAAGACTAGACATTAATATTCCTACAGCCTGTGATCTTTTATTGCTTAAGAGCTTAACAACCTGTTGAGAATAAAATATTTATTAATTATTTCTGCCAATCTTATACATCTTGATGTAACATTATAGATCCATCTCCTTTAAAGATGCAGAGGAAACAGATTTGATATCTAGGAAATGTGTTGAGATTGAATTATCTACTGTATGTCTCACTGCATGAATTGACAGCTATAGTACATACAGTATATAAATGAACAGATGCTTAAAGCTAAGCAGTGGGTTGTCAGGGTTATCTAGGAGGATAATATGAAAATATTGGATGAGAAATCGATGGGAATTTATTGACTTTTGTCTGCAGTAAAAAAGCTTGACTTATATTTGAAACATATCAGGTATATGATGATATTTTCATCATATGGACAGAAGGTGAAGAAAACCTAAAACAATTTTACTCACTTACTCACTGATCAACACTTTTCATCCATCAATCAAACTAAAAATGGAATACTCTCACACACACTTCAACTTCCTAGACACCACAGTATACATCAGGGATGATACGCTTCACACCTCAATATACAGGAAACCCATTGACAGATGCAACTACCTCCACAGTTCCAGCTTCCACCCCCAACACACGAAACGTGCCATCATACACAGTCAGGCCATCAGATACCACCGAATATGTTCTGACCCAAGAGACAGAGATACACATCTCAGGACACTAGCAGACGCCTTCCATAAGAAAGGTTACAAGGACAAAACTATCAACACCAGCATAAACACAGCCTTGAGAATCCGAAGAGAAAATCTGCTTCAGTACAAGGAGAAAAAAACAAACAACCGTGTACCTCTAGTAACCACATACAACCCAGCACTAGAAGGGATAAGAAAAATAATCAAAGATTTACAACCCATCATAACAGAGGATGGAACTCTGAAAGAAATATTCCAGCAACCCCCAATACTGGCCTTCAGACAACCCCCCAACCTCAGAAATAAACTAATCAGTAGGAAACTTCCTTCTGATAATGATGTCACAAATAATGGAAGCGAACCCTGCAATAAGAAATGCTGCAAGCTGTGCAACCAAATCAATCCATCAAAAAGTGTCAGACACTCAAAAGGGATCTTCACTATCTCCGGATCATACAGCTGCACCTCTAGTAATGTTGTGTACCTTATCCAGTGCAGAAAATGCAGCAAAGGATCTTATGTTGGCAAAACAGGACAGAAGTTGCGAACAAGGATGAATTTGCACAGACATACCATCAAGGAACATAAAGAAGATGACCTCTGCACACCTGTAGGACACCATTTCGCACAACCAGGCCACACAATGGGAGACCTCAATGTTTTAGCACTTAAAGGAAATTTCAAATCCATTCAGGAAAGAAAAACTTTTGAACTAAGAATGATAATTCTATTTGACACAAGAGATAAGGGCCTTAATTTGGACATGGGATTCCTCAATCATTATCCGACATTTTTATGACTATTAGCTGTAGCTTGACTCCCTCTGTGTGAGTGTAGTACCCCCCCCCCCCTCCCCCCTCGCTTTGACTGCATCTTATCTCTAGCCTCCTTTTTTTTTTCTTTCATCTCTTCTAACATTCTGCTAACTTTGTGAGTAGTACTGCTTAGACCTTGAAGAAGGGGACATTCCCCGAAAGCTTGTCCTCAAAATTGTATGTTAGTGCAAATAAAAAAAGTATCACGGACAGTACTCAATTGTTTCTGAAACATATTAGGGGAAATTCAATAAAACTTCTGCCCCAGTTTTCTTCCCTTTCGTTAATGTATTGTGCCAAATTCATGAACATTTGTGGAACTTTTGGTTCTGACAGCAACTTGTGCTCCAAATTCAAATAGTTATAAAATGTGCCAATGAATGAATGAGCCAAATTTGTAATAAAATACTGATAGTTCGTGACTTACAGAAGTGGAGCTTTTGGTACACAGAGAGAGTAGCTGGAAGATTTTGCAAGTGTCTTAAAAGCATTCTAAAAGTTTTGAATCATGCGAAAAATTCAAGTACAATTTCTAGACAGGTACATGAATTTGTTGCATGTTGCACCAGTTTTAGAATATGTGAGCCACTTTCACAAAATCTGTCTGTGCCAATTTTATTGAATTCCACCGATCATGTCTTTTTTAGTAATATTGGTACCTTAAATGTCCCAAAAAAACTATTGACTTATATAGTTTTCTTTTGTAAAATTCTATACATGAGTATAAAGTGCAAATTAGAGATTTTTACTCCAAACCAATGTTACACTATAACCAGCTATGAGTAAGGTCTTTTTTTGACTGACATAGTGTTTGCTTTATGGAATAATTTACTCCTTGGAAATAATAAAGACATTTTTTTTATTTTCACCTTGTTGCCGATATTTCGTGATTTGAATGTCTATACACAAGCAGATGCAGAATGCTAGTCTGGCACAGTGATATTCAAGCTCTAGCCTGAGAATCATCTGATCAGGTTGTAGCACCTTATTTTTGTTTTGAACTGAATTTGAATGTTACACTATAGACCTACCCACCTACACTCATTCAGAGAAATTCATAAAGATTGTCTAAGACACTTTTTGAATGCTGGCATGCCTCTACCAATGTTGGTGCGGGCAACAGAACAATGCATCTGTTGTAAACAGGTAAATGCATCTGGGGCACGCACAATGTGTGGAGGCATGTCAGCATTCTAAAAAGTTCCTTAGACAATCTTTATGAATTCCTCTGAATACAAAAACACTCCAGCCTCAGTGCATCTGAGCTTTCTTCCCACCATTGCAGCTGTCATACAGACACACATCCTTAACTAATACACAGCTTGCTATTGACAACAGAATCCGCTCACTGCCAGCTGTCAGTTACAAGAAGAGAGTGGACCTCATGGGGAACTAGTATCTCATATTCCCCATCAGGCTTCACCCACTGCAATGTCACTGTTTGCTAGGAGGCTGTCAGCTGTGACAGCATCCTTAACAACCAGTGACAGGAAGAGGGTAGCGACAGCAAAAATGCCGCTATGCTACACAGGGTGGAAGGGCCAGCACTCTGCCTGTTTCTGTATGCCAACATAGAGTAGGTCTTAATTACCTTCAGTTTCATTATATACAAACTGGACATAATTATTTTTTTTAATTTGGTGCTTTAATAGCTCCACTTTGTAAAAGTGGTGCTATTAAGAACTATGTGAATCCTGTCAGTAAAGTTACCAAGACAGGCTGTAGAGATTTTTGAATATGGTGCAGGCCATAGCACCAGAAAAGTATTGGTGGTGCTTTACTCAATTCCCTGGATTATATACTGAATTATGCCTAGCTGGATCTTTCTTAATATTAATAACCCCTACTTTAGTGTATATATATATATATATATATATATATATATATATATACACTATATTGCCAAAAGTATTCGGACACCCATCCAAATCATTGGATTCAGGTGTTCCAATCACCTCCATGGCCACAGGTGTATAAAATCAAGCTCCTAGGCATGCAGACTGCTTCTACAAACAGTTGTGAAAGACAGTGCGAAGAGAACTTCATAGAATGGGTTTCCATGGCCAAGCAGCTGCAGCCAAGCCTTACATCACCAAGTGCAATGCAAAGTGTCAGATACAGTGGTGTAAAGCACGCCACCACACTAGACTCTAAAGTAGTGGCAACGTGTTCTCTGAAGTGACGTATCACGCTTCTCTATCTGGCAATCCGATGGATGTGTCTGGGTTTGGCAGTTGCCAGGAGAACGGTACTTGCCTGACTGCATTTTGCTAAGTGTAAAGTTTGGTGGAGGAGGGATTATGGTGTGGGGTTGTTTTTCAGGGGTTGAGCTTGGCCCCTTAGTTCCAGTGAAGGGAACTCTTAAGGTATCAGCATACCAAGACATTTTGGACATTTTCATTCTCCCAACTTTGTAGGAACAGATTGGGGATGGCCCCTTCCTGTTTCAACGCAACTGTGCATCAGTACAGAAAGCAAGGTCCATAAAGACATGGATGAGCGAGTTTGGGGTTGAGGAACTTGACTTGTCCTGACCTCAACCTGATAGAACACAGAGACTGCAAGCCAGGCCTTCTCATCCAACATCAGTGCCTGATCTCACAAATGCGCTTCTGGAAGAATGGTCAAACATTCCCATAGACACACTCCTAAACCTTGTGGACAGCCTTCCCAGAAGAGTTGAAGCTGTTATAGCTGCAAAGGGTGGGCCAACTCAATACTGAACCCTACGGACTATGGGCCAGTTCACACTACATATGTTTCAGTGTGCTTTTTTTTTTCTGCATCCAAAATGCACAGAAAGTAGGTTCTATGGTTGTTAATGTCAGATGCAGAAAAAAAGTAAAACAGGTTGCATTTTTCCTGCACAGAACTGTACTGGAACGTGGTAAAACCCATCAAAATTGCACCGGAACACACTGGAATGCACCAAAATGCACCCAAAATGAGCTGTAATGCACATGTCTCTATTTAAATTGAAGAAAAAGAGAGGGAAAAAATGAACTGGAACGCATAGAAAATGCACCGGAACATGCCAAAAACGCGCATGAACGTGTCAAAAGCGTGCATGAAGAAACGCACCTGGAACGCATCTGGACTGCATCTCTATAGTGTGAACCGACCATTTATGCCATTAAAGTTCATGTGCATGTAAAAACAGGTGTCCCAATACATTTGGCAATATAGTGTGATATATATATTCTAAATATTGTGTCTTAAAAAATTTCAATTTGCAGTCTTACCCATGAAAGATTTAATTTGCTATGTTTTAGCCTTTATATTCAATAAAAGTCTCTCTGCTTTTACATAAAAAAAGTAATAAAGGCAAACGTACATTTAATGTGCTAGTCAAAAGTGAACTGTTATGTACTTTTCAGCCTGTACAAGTAAATAATATAAGCATATTTGCAATACAGTAATAAATATCGAAACTTACTTGCTTTGACTTCGTCTTTGTTATTGTATCAGAAATGGGTTTCTTTTTTTCTTTGATTGCAGTTTTTGAAAACAAACTTTCCAACTCATGAACATCCATCTTAGGCTCACTGACAGATTCCCAAACTAAAGGGCTGTTCAAATCTCTATGAGCAAACAAAGAGTGTAATTAATCATTTGACTGCTTTATCAATGATATTCATAAAATGAAAGGCATATATCTCTGTAGGAATGTAAAGTACTGCTTTAGTGGCAATGGCATACTGGAAGTCCCATTTTTGTAGCTAATTCATTTGTATATTTCTTCTATGTGGTTGACTTACTTATGTTGAGAGTGAAAATTTTGGTGAAGCTGTGCATGGTAGCCAATTATCCATCTTCTGCTTGTAAAGCTTTAAAAAAAAAATCTGGAAGCTGATTGGCTTCTTTGCAAAGTTGCATCAAATTTTGCACTCTCCAGTTTTAGTAAATCAATCCTGAAATGTCTGTTTAGCATGTACAAAATGACCTTATTCTGAATATAGTTTGCCACTCTTTGAGGTGTGTATTTTGCCAACTACATCCATTTCAAAGTCAGATTACTTGCAGTTGAACACTTTTTCATCCATTACTTTCATAAATTTAAAAAATTCTACAATAACCGTGCCACGCTTCTCTCCAATACAAATAGTGATATGAACAATAGTGGCATTAAAATAATCCCCATGTGAACTAGGTAGTGAAAACATGTTATAAACAATATTCACACTAAATATGAGCTAACACAGTCCATCTCCACAGTGTGGTCCTTTCATATCGAAAGACTTATGCCTTCAAAAATCTTGATACGTTTGCTATCTTTCTGTATGCAGTCTTTCAAAACAGATTTACCATTACCAAGCATTCTCCACCAAGCTAACAAAGTGAGTGGCTCTTGTATATTTTAATAAAATGAAAGTTTTTAAATGAAAAAGCACTATTGATTTGCCTGTGCATTTTCTATATGTGTGCTGAGCGGAGGAGAAGGAGTTAGAATCAACGGTGGAAAAGAATCTTGGTAGAAGTTACACCATCAATATATGTCCACCTAAAGGATGCAAGCCATTTTTTACCAAACTTAGTTGTGAGGTCAAAAATTTCAGGTGAGAGCACAACTGTTGTCATTGTTGGTGGAGGTGCACTACATATGAAAAAAGGAAGATTTTTGATAGCATAAGTCTTTGGAGATGAAAGGGACAAGTTGTGGTCATGGACTGTATTAGTTCATAGTTATTGTGCATATTGTTTATTACATTTTTTCATTACCTAGTTCACATTGGGATTATTTTAATGCCACTATTTGTCATGTCACTATTTGTATTTGAGAGAAGGGCAGCACGGTTATTATATAATTTTTGTTATTTAGCACATTTGTAAAAGTATGTGTAGATGTGGGCGGCTTTTCATTTTTTATTGATTTTTTTATTTTTGAATAATTTGTAATTATAATTGGTAATTTATTATTGTTCACAGGTTCCTATTTATATCCTTTTCATACATTTTCTTTTTCTTTCCTTTTTCCAAAATTCAATAATCTGCCCATCATTTTCCAAAACTGCTAACATTCAATTTTATTTTTGTTAGCTTGGTGGAGAATCCTTGGCAATGGCAAATCTGTTTTGAAAGACTACATACAGAAAAATAGCAAACATATTTCTGTATGCCACATAGTAGGTACTCACAGACTGAATTAGGAACTAAATAAATAAAAACCACAAGGGATGACCATACACGAAACAGTCTTTAAGGTTTACAGATATCATCATATGTATCAGTCAGCATACTGAATATGAGCTCATTCATGCAAACGCAAATAATTCAATCAGTCCATTCAGTCCTAATAACTACCAATATCTACTAGTGCCCTTTGAGTTCAATGTCTAAAGTTTAATTGAATGATCATGTACCCATTCATTAGGATGGTAATAATAAAAGATTATTTTTGATGAACAATTGTATTGATACATGCATAGCCATAACACATTAACATCAGGCAACTTGACTGTATGCCATAGTCAGCACTGCATTGCAAAACAATTTTATTTTGCCTATCTGCAGTTCTGTTGAACATGTTCAAACACATATACTTTTCAGGGATTTTATTGAAGTACCTCTTTCCATGTATTTCAATTCTTGTCCAGTAAAGGGGCTTCATGGGCTTTGTCGGCTCAATAGCAGCTTTTCTGGTTCCTTTCTCATGACTCAATCCCATTGCTAATAAAGCACCTGGCAGAGGAGGTTGTAGAAAACCTGCTAATGACGTGGGTGGGTGAGTCTGAACAAAACATGAAAATGGTGAGGAATTTTGTGAGACGCCAAATGGAGGAGGAATTAATGGAGGGGGCGGTGGTGGAGGAGGAGCTGCTATATTGGCTGATGGTGGTAGTGGTGGTGGTGGAGGAGGAGGTATAGACTGAATTGCAACAGTGCCTGGTAGTGGTGGTGGCGGGGGAGGAGGGGGAATAGATTGAATGGCAGTAGTGCCTGGTAGTGGTGGTGGTGGTGGTGGAGGGGGAGGAATAGATTGAATGATAGTAGTGCCTGGTAGTGGTGGTGGTGGGGGAATATATTGAATGGCAGTAGTGCCTGGTAGTGGTGGTGGTGGAGGAGGAGGGGGAATATACTGAATGGCAGTAGTGCCTGGTAGTGGTGGGGGAGGGGGAATAGATTGAATGCCGATAGAACCTGGTAGTGGTGGTGCAGGAGGGGGAGGAAGAGTAACTGAATTCAATTGTGGGGTTTGTTGAAGATGGTAAACTGAGTTAAAACCTGGTACTGGCAGTGGTGGAGGAGGAGGGGGAGGAGGTATTGCAGCACCATGTGGGAAGAGAGGTGGTGCAGGAGGAATTACAGCCATATCTAATTGTGGAGGTAATGGTGGTGGGGGAGGTGGAGGAGGGCAGACTACTCCTATATCAGTCATAGATGACTGAAAATGATAAGCTGCATTGCTACCTGGAAGAGGAGGTGGAGAGGGAGGAGCAGGAATTACAGCAGGGCCTGGTAACAGAAATTGCTGTGATGGTGGAGGCACTGCATTGGTACCTGTAAGTAAGGATAAAGGAGGTGGTGGAGGTGGATGGGGAGGATGGGAGGTTGAAACCTCTGTACTTGTACAAAAAGGTAGTGGTGGTGAAGAAACAAGAACTGTAGTAGGACATGGTACTCCTGATAGAAATGATTGCTGAGGTAGTGGTGGCGGAGGAGGAATTGAGTTGTTACATGGTTGGTGAGGTAGAGTAGCTTGAAGACTACTGACTGCATTTAATCCAGATATTGGTGGAGGAGGAGGAATTGTAGTAGAAAATGGAACCAAACGTGACATTTCAGATGAGAAGGCAGAAGGATGCAGTGCTAGACCTGAAGCAAGCATAGTGTGGGAATGAATAGATGAATATGAACTGGATAATGAATGAGATGGGAGACCTGGTAAAGGATCTTGTATGCTAAATTGTGAGTCCAATATGAGCGGGGAAGAAGTGGTAGTGTCCAAGCAAGTATGATGTGCATTAGTGTAAGAAGAATGAATTTGTGTTGTTGTAGTCGAACCTTCAAAAAAACCATTGATAACAGCATTTCCACAGGTTAATGGTGGGTACAACTGTGGAAAGAGTGTTAAGACTCCAGATGAGACAATATTACTGTCTGGTTGAGATTCTTTGTATTCTGTGGAGGTATTAGTGGACACAGACTGTTGTGACTTTGAAGTTACATCTACAGAATAATGTGTAAACTGCGAGTTGCCATCCAAAACTGGTGAAAAGACTTGTCGCACAACTTTATTATCAGTTATTGTAGCTTCTCCATTTGAGGTAAACTCCTCTGTGGGTGAAGTCTGCACAGATTTTCCTTCAACATTCTTTGATGTTATGTTTGCGTTGCCATCATTTAGTTGTACACATAATTCAGTATTTTCATCTTGTGCATTATTTGTGGAAATGTTTGATTGTTTATATTGCTTTTCATGTTCAGCAAGTTTAGCCTTTAAATCTTCAATAGTTTGCTCAAGCTGCTGAATTATATTTGCATGATCTTCCTTGGGAGATACATACTTCAAGTGTTTGCCCTGTTTAAAGAAGATAATGAATTTTTATTAAAAATAAAATGTTCACTCTTCAAAAAACTGTAGAGATAATTATTCAGAACATTTGCTGTTCAATATATTAGTTCAGTATTCTTCCATTATTACTCCTTGAACAGGATGTTTTTTGTCATTTCTACTCAATCCTGGCAAACTTTAAATTATATGAGTTTAACCATCATTTTGCATAGCAGCACAGTCATTACATAAGAATAATAATAATTAAATGTAATATTAATAAATTAAAATTATAGGTAAGAAAGGCAAAAAGAGAGGCTCTTTTTAATTATAAATTTCATGACATTATACAACAGGAAATATATCAAAGTGTAGCATCCACCTAGTTAGCTAGGGGGAGCTAGTTAATTAATTTTTAGATAGAAGGCTAAGCAGCAGCCTGGGAAAAGTTAGCAGGGTCAAACTTGGGTCAGGGCTGAGGGGCTCTGCAGATCAGTTCCTTAATAACTTCCCCTGCTCTAGAATCTTGGAGAAGATTCTAGAAGCAGTGGGGGTGAGGAGGGACTTATCTGCATACTTAGGTGATCCTAACCAATCCCCAGGCAGGAGGCTTGGCATGGATCAGGACAGCCCTTAAGTATGACTGAGCCTGCTTAGCAGCAGGAGAGTTTGGGTGGAAGATGTGAGGAAGGCTGAGATGCAGGAGCCTGGGATGGGGCCCAGTAGGAAGGGGCCTACCTGCAGGCTAGGACTTGGAAAGGAGGATCACTCAGCCTCACCAGTCCCCGGAGGGAGGTCTACCTGTGAAGCCAGGAAAGGAGCCAGCCCAACAGAAGGCCTGAAGGCAGCCACCTACCTAAACCAGCGTACAGGCAAAGACTGAGTGAGTAATCCTACACCCCCTGCACCAACTAAGGGGAAAAGAGCACTCTGTTGGGAAACCTGATTAGTTCCCAGTGCTGATCATCTTAAAGTGGCAGGCACTGGATCCCCTTGCTAGGGATTCCTCCATACAGCTGAATAAAGAAGAGGATTTATCTGGGGTCTGGGGTAGTACATCAGGAGAGGCTGGAGAGCTCTCCCAGAAGAGTTTTGCTGTGTACTCAGTTTATTGTTCCTTGGGCAAAGTATAAAGTTTGCTTCTCTTTATTCACTTTCCAAGGCATTTCCATGTATAAAAAATGGAAAAATATTCTACAACTGGCAGAAAAATATTGAATGAAGCACAATACAACAGTGTTTAAGAAACTGCCTGCTTTCTCACATTTTACCATAGATTCCCCATCTGCCTGCCATTGCTAATAGCTGAATTTGACTCGGTGTAGTGGGACAGTACCCAATGAACATGATTCATCCTGGTTTATGGTGTTTTAGTGCTGATATGTAATTCTGAGGATTTCTTGAAAATTAGACCTCCTTTGTTGGAGCAAGAATCATTCAAGAAAAGAGTCTGTATGCTGTGCATCATTCATATTACTGGACCGTTTCTATGAACTTCAAGGGAAGAATAAATTGTATTCAACCAAAGTATAGTATCATGTGCGTTGCTTCTACTACAAAGTGTTTGTTATCAGGTACTGTGTACCTTGAAAAAGTATTCTTACCCCTTTAAATTTTCCAAATTTTGGCATTTTACAACTAAAAAAGTAAATGTATTTTATTGGGATTTTATGTGATAGATCAACACAAAGTGGCACATAATTGTGAAGGGAAGGAAAAAGATAAATTATTTTCAATTTTTTTTACAAATACTGTAAATATCTGAAAAGTGTGGTGTGCATTTATATTCAGCCCCTTACTCTGATACCCCTAACTAAAATCTAGTGGAACCAACAATAACAACAATAAAAAGAAAAATTATATCTTGCTCAATCTATTCATAAACAGGTGTTTCAGATTAAAAGCAAAAAGTGTCATAATATAGACAGTTTAAAAATAATATTTTCACACACCTCTAAGCTGAGTACTTTGCTGTTTAATTACTCACCTCATGTTGCTCTGCAGATTCTCTTGTTTTTTCAGAAAGTCCAGATGAGATTTTCTCTGAAAAAAATTAAATTTGGAAAATACATTTTATTAGGATGAAAGGAAACTCAATAGATATGTCTTTTATACACTTTTACACAGAGAATACTGTTACCAAAAATGTTTTCATTGTATGCTTTTAATAAAAATGTCACTTTCATTCTATGTATTCAGTGGATTTTAGGGTTATGTCTTCATACCTTTAATTTGTATCTCTTGCTCTCCCTCCTTTTGCGTCTGCAACATACATAGAAGCAAGTATGTGCCTTTTTGGTCAGCTTCAAAGCATTGTAGTGACGTAAAAGCATGAAATGCATATATACACATACAAGCTGTTGCAGGCAATCCAGTATTTTACTTTACAGATTTCTCTTTTTTTTTTTAAATATAAAAATGTGAAAAAGATCAGCTTGATGTCAACAATTGCATCAAAGCAAATTAATGTTGTTAAGAGATTGTTTTCATTAATAATTTGTACATTTAGGTCAGTGAATGCTTTATTATTGAAATATTGTCTTGCAAAATTATTTTATTTTCTATGCAACCCAGAGGTAAAGATGTCATAAAAATAGTGTTACTGTACATAAAAAAATGTACCTTTAATTAAGATTTTCTTTTTTTGTAATAACCCATAACTTACATTTCAGGTAAAACACCTGGCAAAATTATTTATGAGTGAAATATTTTTTTTTTTTTAATTTTACATTGCCATGTATTTATCTATGATGCCTGCAGACAAGGTTTTCAAGCATAATTTACATAGGGACAGCTGCAGCTACTGCTTAAACACAAAGCAAGGCTCGACTGTAATATGACAGTGACCAACAGTGCCCTGGGAAGCCTTAGAGTTCTCAAAGGTTTTCTATGCTGATGAGCTCAATTATGTATATATATTCATCACAGAGGACAATGGGGCACTCTTTACATCTGGAGGAAAAGAGATTTAATCTCCAAATACAGAAAGGTTTCTTTACAGTAAGAACTGTGAAAATGTGGAATAGACTCCCTCAAGTTTTTGGCCAGCTGAGTAGATTGCTTTAACCTCCCTGGCGGTATGATTATTTCAGATTTTTGGTGCTGAAAGCGGTACCATTTTTTTGCATGGAAATATGTATTTTTTTTATTGTAGGCTGTAATTTTTAGGAAAAACTCACTGAAATCTGCCCGAACAAGAGTCTAGTAAACATCCCGGGTATGATAAAATTTGAAACACAAAATCATAAATTATAATTTAATAAATAATCATAAAAATAATATAAAAATAATAAAAAATTTAATTCAATAATATAATCAAACCAAAAAACACTGAAATGTGAAATAGAGTGCCAAGTTCGCACATTGCTGAGCTCAGTCGCAAAATCGTTTTCAGTTTCTGATGACGAATTTCCCCCACGAATCATTATCACTCAATTCTGTAAGTGGTTCTGATTTACTATCGCTGTTCTCTAGCTGATCTAAACCGCTTTTGACCTAAAGGGACACTTTTTGGACGCCATGGACATTTCTCAGTTTCCAGGCAGAAAGAACAGACAAAATGCAGGCAGGGCGCCGGACAAAGCACTAGGGACAATATGTATGTGAAATAGGTTGAAACAGCAATGTTTTACTGTGTAAAATGAAAAAAAAAAAAAATTACATTTTTTAAAATTTTTAAATTTCCCGCCGCCGGCGGCGGCGCCCGTACGTCCCGACGTCACAGGGACAGGACACAGAAGCCGGATGCCGGCATCGGCCGGAGGAGATGGCCGGGGACGCTGCAGGGGACACATCGTGGGAGCGCAGGGTAAGGTAAGTGAAGAACACATGCCGGAGCAGTGCCGCATGGTATTCCCGAGTGTAGCTCGGGGTTACCGCTTTTGGTACTGAAATGTTACCCCGAGCTACACTCGGGAATACCGCCAAGGAGGTTAAAAAAGGCCTAGATTCTGTCTTGGATACACAGAATATAACTGGATACTAACATTTATAGGTAAAGTTGATCCAGGGAATATCCAATTGCCTCTCGGGAGATCAGGAAGGAATTTTTTTTCCCTTGCAGGAGCGAATTGGAACATGCTGTGCTGGGGTTTTTTTTTTGCCTTTCTCTGGATCAACTGCAGGTACAGGATTATAACTTTTTTTTTGTTATAGTTGAACTAGATGGGCTTTTGCCTTTTTTCAGCCAGACTAGCTATGTAACTATGTATATGGTGTAGAGATTTTTTTTTGTTATTACTAATATTTTGCAATCAGTGTAATGTTTGTTGTTCATATAGCGGCTCATTTTCTATTGCAATTATAGTTACATAGTTAGTCTGGCTGAAAAAAGACAAAAGTCCATCCAGTTCAACCATAAAGAAAAGAAAAGGAAGAAAAAAAAAAAAGTTATAATCCTATACCCATAGTTAATCCAGAGGAAGGCAAAAAAACCCAGCAAAGCATGATCCAATTTGCTCCTGCTGGGAAAAAAAATTCCTTCCTGATCCCCCGAGAGGCAATCGGAAATTCTCTGGATCAACTTTACCTATAAATGTTACTATCCAGTTATATTCTGTGTATCTAAGAAGCAATCCAGGCCTTTTTTGAAGAAATCCACTGAGCTTGCCAGAACCAACTCTTGAGGGAGTCTTTTCCACATCTACACAGCTCTCACTGTGAAGAAACCTTTCCGTGTTTGGAGATTACATTTCTTTTCCTTCAGACGTAAAGAATGCCCCCTTGTCCTCTGTGATGACCTCAGGGTGAAAAACTCTACACCACGTTCACTATATGAACCACTGATGTATTTATACATGTTGATCATATCCCCCCTTAATCTTCTCTTCTCAAGAGAGAATGAATTCAGTTCCTCTGATCTCCTCCATGCCTCGTATCAGTTTGGTTGCCCTTCTCTGTACATTCTCCAGTTCCCCAATGTTCTTTTGTGAACTGGTGCCCAAAACTGAATTGCATATTCCAGATGAGGTCTTACTAATGATTTGCACAGGGGTAATATGATATCTCTCTCTCTCTGGAGTCTATACCTCTTTTAATACAAGAGAGGATTTTGCTTGCTTTAGAAACCGCAGCTTGACATTGCATGCCATTATTAAGCTTGTGATCTACCAGAACTCCCAGATCTTTCTCCACCATTGATTCCCCCAGTTGTACTCCCCCTAGTATGTATGATGCATGGATATTCTTAGCCCCCAAATGCATAGCCTTACATTTATCAACATTAAACCTCATTTGCCACATAGTTGCTCGATTAAACAGTGCATTGAGGTCAGCTTGTAAATTGAAGACATCCTGTACGGACGTTATTCCACTGCACAGCTTGGTGTCATCTGCAAAGACTGAAATGGGATTTTTAATCCCAGACAATATAGTGTTTATAAATATATTAAAAAGTAAGGGTCCAAATTATAATTTACTGTATGTAGATTTACCAAGATTATGGTCGGAATCTTTTTATTTCTTAATGCGTCCCTCCAGGCAAAAAATGACAAATTGGCCTCTACATAGTTTCCATAGCATATGCATATGTGAAGGAAGGTGTTCTCCTTTAATGTGTGATCACTTCCCCATAAGGTGTGTGCTCATTGTTAAGCCGACCCTGTTCTGGGTCTGTGTGCAGAGGGAACAGGATGCAAGACTAGAGAGGAGGCACTTTCCCCTATTTGAGGGAAAGGAATTCCATGAGATCCAAGGCCTGGAGAGGATGGACCAAGGAATTTATTAGGTAAATTGACACCACAACAACCCTTCTTGAGTAGCATTAGTGGAACCTTGATAAGTTATTCTGGCCATATTCTGGAAAGTGTTATCATGTTGTCTGTCAGTGTTACTTCAACATGCATTGGGATTGTAATGACAATCATATGGTTCCCTTAACAGTACCATGCAGCTGATTGTTTGTAAACGATTTCAGAATGTCTGGAGAGACATATTAAGAAAAATGCCCAAATGATGCATCTACTTTAATGTATAAGTAAACCAAAAATCTATTTTTTAGCATATAGTTTTCCAAAAGTGGTAGTAAAGCCACTTTGTTCATTTTTACCTACAGGTAAGCTTATAATAAGGCTTACCTGTTGGTAAAATTAATATCTCCTAAATGTACACTGTTTATGAGATATTTGGGGTGTTTTTAGAGCTGGCACATGTGCTCTGAATGAATTACATACCTGTGCCGTTCCTTGAGAGCACTGTGCCGTGTTCCAAGACTCCTGTGCACATGTGCGGGAGTGACATCATCACAGCTCAGCCAGTCAGATGGTCGGAACTCGCGAACCCGTAAGGAAGACCGGGTGAAGATGGAAGCCTCTACAGAGGTGACAATGCGCCGCTGGAGGGCTTCGTTTTAAGGTAAGTTTTACAAAATGTGCTACCATGCAATGCATAATAGCACATTATGCCTTTACCTTGCAGGGGATTTTTTTACTTGGTTGCCATTTACTACCGCTTTAAACAAATATTTTTTTTGTTAATTATTGCAAAGTATCTTATCTGGAGATCCTGCCAGTAACAGCACTTCCTGCAGCAGGCTGACAACACTAAGATTTTGCTTTGCAAAAAGCAGCACAGTTATCAGCCTGCTACCAAAGCTCTTTTACTTAGCTGTTGGCCAGCTTATAAGGGATATTTTCAGAGTGTATGGACATTCTTTTCTATATGTTATTATTCAATTCTAAATATACATATATACATACACAGGGGCAGACTGACAACTCATGGGGCCCCCGGGCCATAGGGGATCATGGGGACCCTGTGTCCTTGCCCAAACTCAAAAAAGCCTATGAAAAAGGTACCAGGGGCATCTCATGGGGCCCCCTACTGACTCCGGGCCCTCAGGCAGTGCTCGAGTTTCCAAATGGTCACTCCGCCCCTATATATATATATCTATATATCTATATATACTGTACATATATATATATATATATATATGAGATGAATCATATTCTTAGTGCACTGACCCTAAATGCAATTTCCCTTGCAAGTCACTTACTAATCTGTTACCATTCTGCCAAGATTTTAATTGTGTGACCTGCTCAGCACTA